TTCTGTACCGTAATATGCCATATAAAAGATTCTTCTATATATTAGATCTCCATTAATTAGATCCAGGTCTATAATATAGAATAAAATTTTGGTAAAATATAAGAGACCCGGGTATACAAATAGGAAAATACTATGAAAAAAATAAAGAAATAGAGAAAGACTAAGAAAAAAATAATGAAATTGAATAAACTCCAATTATCATACTTACACCTATACAAAGACTCCTGGGTCTTAATATAGGTTTGAAAATTGGTGAAATATAACAAATCTAGATTGTTTATATAGCACATTATAGTATTTTATATAAAAAATTAGTTGGTATTAATTTTTAAAAAGCTGCAGAATAGGGTGTGATGACTTAGTATAATTAGTAAGTTGTTGCACTTCCAAGTGGCAGAACAAGAGTTCAAATCATGCTGGCAATGAAATTTGAATTTACGAAATATGTTACAATAAAACTGTATAACATATCATTCAGATAAGCACCTGTAACTTTGGTTACACTAGCTTGTATTGAGAGGTTGCAGAATATTAGTATAATGTATAAGTTACACGAAACCTAAATTAAACAGCTAAATAAATCCAAGGGATCAGAAAATACAGAAGCCTGCTTTGGAAGTTCAGAGTAGAGAGGTAGCACAGAACTTTGACAGTACTATGTAAAGAATTATTATCTGGGTAACTGGACACTAGCAGTAAACTAAAGAAGATCAAGTGTTTGGCAAGCACTACACCAACTAGGCCACCAAACCAGCTAGAAGAAAAAAGATTCATTTAAAATACCAAGAGATGCTCACTAGACTCTTCTGAACCATTTAGATTAGAAGTTTAAACACCATTAGTTGGCATCAAAGTACTGTTGATAGTCTGTAAAATGGGTACTGAAGTTTAGATAAACTTTGCAAAGCCACAAAGTAGATAACAGTAGTGGAGGTAAAAAGCTGCAAGTACTTGGCTACAGCCTAGACATAAGTTACCAAAAACTTAGATGATATATGTGTAGAATATAGACTACTCTAGTAGGTTTAATATAAAGATAAAGTAGTTTTAAGAGGCCTTAATGGCAGTTTCTCTTTGGAGAGAATATCTAACTGTGCTAAGTTGATCAGAGAGTTTAATTAGGTAACTCAAATAATAGTAGGTTATAGATACGGCCTCTAGTGTAGAACCTAGTAATAGGCAAACTATTTAATTAGGTGCTCAAAAGGTGCAGATATGGCTAAAATGTATTCTTGTTAATATAACAAAGTTAGAGATAGCCCATATGGTTGTCCTGGCATTCGATCCAAGTTTAATAAAATGTGCCAAACCCCAAAGTAGTTACCTTAACATTAAAAAAAAAAGACTGCAGAATATTTGCTATCTGTATTAAATAAAGAGAAGTTTAAGATAAAATACAATTAATTTAGACTTTGAAAGTTATTAGTAGAAGATGTTAAAGAAAATTTAATAAAAAATTTGATAATAATTCTCCAGTAAACAGAAGAATGATTATAGTATAATATGAAGCAGTTTTATATGTAAATTACTATAGACAAAAATCTGTAAAATTTCTTAAAAAATATAATGTTCTTCAAAGAAAACTTTTTTATTCTAAGTTAATTACCTTTGAGTCTCTAAGTAAAGTTATAGAGCTCATTAAGACAAATCTAATAGTGGTTAGATTATTCAAATCAGCCTTGCTGACTATATAAAATTTTTTTAAAAAATTTTATATAGTCAGCAAAAAGATTTTTGAAGATATCTTGGCATCTACTAAGCCGATTTGAATAATCTAACTACTGTTAGATTCATTTCAATAAGCTCCTCTACAACTTTACTTAGAGACTCAGAGATGATTAACTTAGTACAAAAAAAGATTCTTTAAAGAAACATTATATTTTGAAAGAACTTTTTCAGATTTCTGTTTATAGTAATTTACATATAAAACTGTACTATAATCATTCTCCTGTTCACTAGAAAATCATCAATTAAGTTTTTAAAAATATATTTTTTATTAGCTAATAATGTTTAGTATAGATTGTTTTTGCCATAGGTGTATATATATACAGTCAACTCTCTTTTAGTGCATGTTCTCTAAATGCATATTCTTTCTAAATGCAGATTTAAATTTGGGGTTCACATATATATTTATTTTCTATAAATACATTTTTCTTAATTGCTCTCTTAATGCATATTGCTAAAAGTCTGATCAAATATAATACATTTAGAGGGAGTCGACTATATATGATAAAGTGCTGCTTTGCTGCAAAGTATAATATATTTTTATTGAAGAAATAGAAGTAATGTGATGTATCTAAAAATACCACCCTCAAAAGAGGAGTGGATTTGGCTGGTAAGTATATTATTGCTAACATAATATATCTAAAATCTACCTGTTACAATATAATAAATGCTATGTTTATATACTATTTGCCTATATGCTATATATGCTAACTATGCTAATTATGCTTAATATAATAAATTCCCTAAATATGCACAATATGCTAAATATCTTAAATCTACTAAATTCGATACTACTATTGTATGCTAAACTTAAAGAAATATGCAATCAATCACTCAATTCAGTTAGATTATAGCAACAATCAATTTTCTATTATAACATTTTCCTCTATCTAATTTGTTTGTTTCATAAACTTTTCAAACCTCTAGAATCAAATATGCAAGGTTATTCATCACTTTAGTCTTTTTATAATGATGTCTAAGATTAAGTTGTCTATCCAAATTGCTGCCTTCAGTAGAGTTCAACTGTTATCTGCATGCTTTTCATCAGTCTTCAGCAGACCTTTTATTATCAATTTTATTCTTATAGCAGTATTTAACATTATATATTCTATCATCATATTCCATCTCAGTAGGCTTTTGGTAATAGATAAGCATCTAATGTGCACCCTTTTAGCTTTGAAGCCCTTTTCTGCTGATTTTTGATGTTGGATAAATGCCTTATACTTATTATTTTCATATCTAATTCTATATTAATAATAGTGGCCAACCTTATACAGTCTGTTTGTCATTCTATTTTGACTTCAACTCCTCTTTTATAACAATTTCTAGGCCTATAGGTTCTTTCATCTTCAGCTTGATATATATTAGTAGATTTTGTATACTCTATAGACACTTTATACTTATCTATTTTAACCCCTATTATAATTTTCATACTTGTATATCTCATCATTATTATAGTCCAATTCAATGCTAATATTTTTTTATCAATCTTATTACCACTAATATCTATGTTTGCACTACCATCATATTCAAAATTTCTAGCACTATTCAAGTAAGTTTTATCATTATTTTCCGCTCTAACTTTGTCTTTGTAACAATTAATGATGCCAAGCATTCTCTTATTATTATTCATATCAGAAATTTTTGATATTAATATAGCATTCTTCATTTATCTATTTAGCTTTGATTCGACTCTAATGCCATTGACTAAGGTTATAGATTTTATTATTTTTTATACTATCAGGTTTACAGTTTTTTGGTTTATTTGAGTAAGTTTCATACTCATCTTTTTCTTCCTTATTTTTATTTTATAACAGTAATTGACATTTATATAATCATCTATCTTAGCTGATTTCTAATAGCACGAAATGTTTTAAGTTCATTTATATAAGTAGATTTTTGATAATACTTGAGTACTCTTCTTTTATTTTTTTTAGCTACAATTTTATTTTAGTAGCAATATTCCAGGATATATATTCTATCAGCATACACCTCATCAGCAGCTTTTCAATAATATTCAGAAGCTCCTTCAATCTTGCCTCCAATTCTATTTTTATTACAGTCATATGTTCCATTAGTATTTATCATTTTAGAAGGTTTTTGATAATGGGAGCATGCTTTATACTCATTCTTTTTAGCTACAATTTCTTTTTTATAACAATATCCAAGGTTATATATCCTATCAGTATACACCTTTTTAACCTCAATTCCATCAATATAACATGGCCCTTCTTTAGCAGGTTCTGGCATTAGTGACAAATTGGCATATGGAGATAAGTAGATGATTGGTTTGCTTCTTTAATTTCTTTTTGGTTGCTTGTAAAATCTTCTAAAATTTTCAATGTTAATTTCAGAGCCTGTAGGTGTTGCATATCATCAATCAGTTGGTTTCCAAAAACCTCATTAATTATATCTTGAATTTTATCTAATTTTTTCAAAGTAAATATTGCTAGTAGTATATTACAGTTATGTTCTAATCATTTTATGTATTAATCCAGGCCTCGAAATATATACTGAGGGGTAAGGTTTTGCAAAAATTACTAAATATAGAAGGATCTGCAAAAAAAAGAACAAAAATAAGCAAACTAATTACTAAAAATAGAAATAAGCTTCACAAAAAAAGTTAAAATAAGCAAA